GTATGTTGTGTGTCTGTGTGTTCGGGTGTGAGTGACTGTGTGTGTAGATGTGTGTGTTGTGTGTCTGTGTGTTCGGGTGTGAGTGTGGCTATGCGGCAAGTGTGTCTGTGAGGGAAGGTTGAGCAAGGGTGTCAGGAAAGAGGCCCTGGCTTCCTGGTTCCCTGGAGGCAGATGAGGAAGCCTCGAAACAGGCCTTGGGTGCGCCCAGGGCTCCTCCCCTGGGTTCCCACACAGGAGCCATCACTGCACATTTGTGCATCCCATCTTCCCAAATGACACCATAACAGGCCTTCTAGGAACCGAGCGTAACTGCACCAAGCCTGCATTCTGTGTGCCATGGGACACAAGCTCCAACCTCCACCCACCAGTGGCTTCTTCCTTCCCTAACTGGCCGCCAAGTCTGGGGATTCCCATCAGGTCCCCAGGATGAAGCCTTTAGGAAGCCAGAATATCCAAGCAGAAAGCTCCTCGTGCCTCACACCTGAAGCTTCCTGGCTGCTTCCTTCTCCTCCAAAACCTCTAAGTCCAGCGGAAGCCACTCCAGGACTTGGCGGCACTGGGGAATCATCGGTGTCAGAGTTGACTCTCCCTCACTTCACACTTTTCTGCAGGGTGCCTCTGCTCCTTCGTCCTCTAAGGGAGGGGATTTTCCAGAACTCGTCTCCAGGAACCAGGTGCGGGGAGAGTGACTTCTGGTGCAGGCAGCCCCTCCCCACAGTGTCCATCCCCCACGGCTCACCTATGCATGCTCCAGTCCTGGCCTCCAGTCTCCCTGTGTCTCCAGCAGTTACCATCCTCCAGGACTCCCAGGGGCCCTGGCCTGGCTCCCACCAAGACAATGCTGGGTCCACAGAAGCCTGTGTGTTGCTGAGGGAGCAACCCCTCAAAGAGAAAATGTGTGTGTTAGCATGTGTGTGGCATGAACTTATGCAAAAACCATTGCACAGTCTCTTGCTGCTCTCCCCTCAAGTTCAGCTGCTGATGAAGGGGGAGGAGGAGGAGAGGAGAGCTGTGGGTGTCCACCACCAGCTGCTCTTAAATCCTGCCAGGGCAGGTAGGGTCAGTGTGATTCAACTTGTCCCTGAGGGGTGCAGAGAGGACTCTTCCTGTTCCTTTGCAGCTGAAGGATGATGGCTGAGCCCTGGCAGGCCCTAAGCCTCCTGCTGGCCATTCTATTGACTCTGATGACCCTCACCTACCAAGCAAGGAAGAAAACCTTTCTAAGTGTCCATGAAGTGACGGCAGTAGAAAACCATGCGAAGGACACCTTGCAATGGATCACCGACCAGTACAACAAGGAAAGTGATGACAAGTACCACTTCAGGATCTTCCGAGTCCTGAGAGTCCAGAAGCGGGTGAGTGTATGACTTCCCGCCTCTCCCCAGGCCTGATACGTCCACATCAGGCGGCCACTGGTGTCAGAAATAGTCCCACTCAAGGGAAATTCAACCTTGCTTAGTTTGAAGTGAGCACTTTAAGAGAAGCATAAATTCACTAGGGTGAATGAAGTTACGGCACTTAAACGAAACCCAGGGCCAGGGATCCTCAGCACATTACATCCCAAAGGCCAAATCTGCCTGCTGCCCACTTTTGTAAGTCGTGTTCTTGTGACTCAGCCATGCGCGTGGGTGTGCTTTGTCTGCCACTGCTTGCTGCTGCCACACTCACGCTGAACTGAGTAGTTACAGAGACCGCATGTAGAAAACCTACAATGTTTACGATGTAGTCCTTTACAGACCCCTATCCAGAACCACTAGCATCACTTGTGTTATCCAAGGGATAGATTTGCCCAAGGGGAAAGATCATGTTTCTGATGGTTTCTGGTTAATTCTCTATGAATGATGAAAACAATCATGAGTCAAACAGAAAGAGGAGAGAGGAGCCCACCCAGGACCAGGTCCTTGCCCTTGGATGCAGGGTAGCGGAGCTCCCA